CACTTCACCTAAGTATTCCAAATGTTCTTTAAAAGACTTAGAGTATATATTAAGGTCGTCAAGATAAACGACGACAAACTTCCCAATTATATCCCGGAAAATCTGGTCCATCAACCTCTGAAATGTTGTCAGAGCGTTGGCCAATCCAAACGGCATAACATTAAATTTATATGTCCCGTAGGGAGATATGAATGCCGTTTTCGCCTTGTCTTCTTCTAGCATTTCGACTTGCCAGTATCCACTGGCTAAGTCTAGCGATGTAAACTACGAGGACCCATTGAGACAATCTAGGAGCTCATCCACTCGGGGCAGCAGGTAATTATCTTTAACAGTGACCGCATTCAATTTTCTATAATCGATACAAATTCGCATCTTTCATCCTTTTTGCTTTACTAGGACTATCGGGGATGCCCAGGGGCTTGCTGAGGCTCTAATTATCTTTTCTTGTAGCATTACGTCGATTTCTTTTTTTAAGAAATTCTTTCTCAGATGGGGAGTATCGGTATGGTCTTTGTTTTATCGGCCATACTTCTCTTGTCGGTATTTGGTGCCTAACTTTATTGGCGCGACCTAATTCACTTAGGCTTTGGGCGCTAATATCTTTATTTTTATCTAGTAATTGGGATAGCTGGTCCTTTTGATCTTTCTCCAGGTCTCCTACTTGGTAATCAATCCTGACTTGGATATCGTCCTCATAATAGTAGTCAAAAAGGTCTGCCACTGGTTCGTATTCTTTTCCTTGTTTCGTGTTTAAACACGATATAGGCCACATACTAACGTCTAATCTTTTATTGTTCTTAATTTTTCTAATTTTTTCTTCTATTTTTAGGTTGTCTTTCTCATCTTCGTTCCTTTCTTCTATTTCCGAGTAAGCATATATCTGTTCCTCCAACTCTTCGTCTTCGTATTCTTCGTCAGTCGTTTCTTCATCTAATTCATCTTTTAATTTTTCTTCTAGGTCTTTAACGACAACTGACCTTTCTTTTTCCAGTGGGGATCTAGTCATCTTTCGGAATTCTACAGGTACGTTGATTTCTTTGTTGTCCCAGTATATCATCACTTTGGAAGAATTCCAATTAATCATGGTGTTAACCTTAGCAAGCCAGTCATTACCTACAATGGTACAGTAAGAGCTGGCATCTGTTATCACCATGTCGATAAGGATTTCTATGCTGCCAATATTAAAGGGGAAGTCAGAGATTTTGCCTATCGCCCTTTTACTTTCACCGTGAATATTAATCATATTCACACTTGAGGTTCTTTTGATCCTTATACCAAGGTCGTTTAACAAGTGGGAAGCAACCACGCTTCCCGAGGAGCCGCTATCCATGATTAGTGAAATATTCTTGTTGTATACTTTGGCATCGCAATACAAGGCGGTGGACTTTATGGAAGGTTGTATGTTTACGTTGCCTTGGGCTTTCCTTCTAACAATAACTCTTTTCTTTTGTAGGAATCGCATTAACTCTTGCCTCATATTCGGTACAACTCTTAATAGTTGCCTGAAGGTAATATGAGCAGTCTTATCTCTTAAGTCTGCTACAATCGAATATGGGGTAACTAAAGAGGAAATCTGGGGCAGTTTGTCTTCAACGTTCTTTTTTCTTGGCGCCAAAATTTTCTTAGGTTTACCGGAGGTATTTTTTTTATTTTGTTCAGGTTGGTCTTTCTGATTTGGGTTATCTTTTCCATTTGATTCAATCCAATTTGAATTATCTTGGTTATCTTGATGCTCTTCATCCCCTTCTCGCATTTCGGTATTGATATCTGGAATTAAAATTTCATCGGTTCCTCCTAATCCTACTGAATTCTCCTGGTTCTTCTTTTTTAGGAGAATCAAAGTACCACTAATAGGCTTTTGCCGGGCGATCCTATCAGCCAGAAGGAATAGCGACTCGTCCTCCTCTTGAATTCCCAAATAGGAGGCTTGATTATTTTGGGGAGTGGTCTGGTTCGTATTATTCAGTAAGGCTAGCAAGGCTTGAAGGGTCTCTTGGTTACTAACGTTTCTTTCATTATTTGGTATAGGCGTAGTTTGAACTAGAGGACCATTATTAACGGGGTTTGTTAAGTTGGGACACTGTCGACTAATATGTCCAGGATGTCCACAACTATAACAGGTAATTCCTGAACCTGAATTTAAGTTAGTTCCAGGTTGTCGAGGTCGGGGTGGTCTCCTTTGCTCCTGTAACTATGTTACCATTTTATTAATAGTTTCCGTTAATTTATTCAAGGCTTCCTCAGTCTTGTTTGATGGTGGGTCCATCGAAAGTGCTGCGCCTACCGTATTATGGAGATTATAGGGAGGATAATTTATTGAGTGGGCCGCGTAAGCAGGATACACCAGATTATTCTTGTACGCATTCTCAAACGCCTTTGCCCTGACATAAGCGTCTTCTAAAGTGTTCAGGGTTAAAGGTGATACGACCAAAAATAACTCTGGATGAAGCCCGTTAAGGAACATTTGGGCTTTAGCGGAGTGAGGGTATTGGTGACCTGCTGATTCCACCCTCCTTATTATTTCTTCTATGGAGGTGTGGTAATCATCTACCGATTCACCCGGAGCTTGTTTCCTTTGGGTTAGCTGAGCGAACCATTTTTGCTCTAGCTCCGGGGTCCTAAACTTGGCAATGAAGTTAGCTGTGAAACTTTGTTGGAGATTTAGTGGATCATTCCATCGATCTATTTGGGGGTTTTGGAGTCTCCTAGTAACCCACCACGTAGCCACGGGTCCCTTAAGCATTGGGACTATCACTGGAATCTTTCGGTTATTTTGTATAAGATTGGCTTCGAAAGCCTTTTCCACGTCCTCAAACCAGGTTATCGGATCTTGGTCTCCACCATGAAATTCGGGATACGAGATATTAGTCAATTCTCTTCCCGCATTAAGGTTTCCTGGAACATTTACTTGGACAGGTGGGACCACCTGCCTTTGTTGGACTAATGCGGCGATTTGGTTAGCAAGGGCTTGCATTGGATGTTGCGCCATGTCTTTAATCAAGTTTTTATTTTTATTTTTATAGGTTAACTTGTTCAAGTCCACACAATCGGCACCAAATGTTACTATTATTTGGGAAAGCGTTATACAATTGTGTGCCGGTTTAACTCCAATAGTTAACTTGGATTGTTAATATCTACGGATTTTATAGAGTCT